TTTTCATGTCATTACATTGTTTAGAGCATAGAAAAAAAATGGTAAAATAACATTTTTGAAAAATTATATTTTATTTATATGTTATGCTATGTCCTCTGTAGCGGACACCAGGACTCAGTTTTTCTAAACATAAAATGACAAGAATAGAGGCAAAAACAATGGGAATTTTTTTTTTAATCACCAATCAATTTTTAGGTTTCAGGATTTTTTTATACCTAAGGATGGTTCTCAACTATGTTATAAAATATATAACAAAATAATTTGATATACCATTTTGCTTTATGAAATATGTGTGTAAAAATTCCATAAACTGGTTTTCCCATTAAGCACAGTGTTATCTATACACTGTATCTAAGTTGCATATTAAAGTGCTGTTGGGACAGCATGTTGAAAAAAGAAGTGTAATAATGGGAGTAGTAATTGCCAGATTTTCATAATAATATCTAATATTTCATTGATATATAATTTGTTTTCCTATTCAATTCTTTTGTCTCCCAAAATGTATAATAAACATGCTTTTAGTCCTGGTGTCCTCTACAGTGGACATGTATGAAATTATGTCCTGTTTCATAACAGGAAGTCATATTTTGATTTGAAACCCCGTAACATTTTCCTGAGATGTTGATTTATGACAAACAATTTGAAAGTTTAAATTGTAATTACAAAATAGTATCTCCATAAGGATGTACAATTTTATCACTAAATTAATGTCAGCCATTTTTAAAAACCAAGGAGAGGGAGTGGCCACGGTGAAACATACAATCATTTGGTATCTCTGGAAAGTCCTAAATGTGCTCTGTACAGGCCATCCAGACTTAAAACTGTGACATGTGAGGTCTCAGAGAAATTCACTCAAATATAATGTCCACTACAGAGGCAAAAACTCCATAGCTGGGTCTCAGGAGGATATAATGTTATGATATATATATGAATGATATATTAAAATAGAAAGCAGTTATTTTAAATTGTAATAATATTTCACAATATTACTGTTTTTACTGTATGATTAATCAAATAAATGCAGCCTTGGTGATCATAATAGACTTCTTTCAAAAACATTACAAAATCTTAATTATTCCAACCTTATAAGCCATACATATATAATATATAATATCATTGGTCAGTTCAAAATGGGTTTAAATTTTAAAAGTCAAAAACTGTATGTATGCATTTTTGTCTTTTACAATTGATGCATCTAGATTCAGAGTTTTTTTTTTATTTTTTAGTTTGTTTATTTTTGGAAAGAGGACCTATAAAAGTTGTAAAAGAGACACAATTCTTAGGACTTCATTTTGATAATAAACAAACTGTCCTTTATTCCACATATTAAAATGCTGCAAAATAGATGTTTTAAAGCATTGGATGAAAACTGGCTCTCAACTATGCAGTTAAGCTAAAAACTAGCAAAAGTAATCCACTATATTCAGTCTTCCACCTTCAGTATTTACATCTATTGAAGCTAGACCTAGATATATCAGTCCTTTTGGAATCCATATAAAATCTCATTTGGAGAACTTG